GTAAGTTGCTCAATGTCATACAAATATTGGTGGCAGCTTTGGGATTCAGACCTTGACACAGCTGAGAAGAGGTGAATGAATGGGTGGGCCCTAGATTGATGAAAAGCCATTGAAAGACTTCCAGCAGGAGGAGGGAATGCTCACTGGGATCACCACTTTGAAAGGCCCACTCTAGCTGCATTGGGGAGAATGAATAGGTTGTAGCAAGGCAAGAGAGAGACTGAAAGAAGAGATAGATGCTGTAGTTTTAGTCCCAGCAAGCGGTGACAGTGGTTGGACCAAGGTGATAGCAAAGACACGGATATGGATAGGATCTGGACATGCTGAGGGCAGATTGGATGCTCTTTCTTTTGTGAAGGAGATGGAGGTGACTCCAAGGTTTCCACTGGGCTATCGTGTCTGACTTTGAACAAAGTTCCACTGCTGAGAGTGATTCTGAAACCATTGTGATGAACTCCTGGGTCCCTCTCAGTCCTTTACACAAATGTGCCGTAGAGGTCAGCCCTGCCCCTGTCCCAAATTCACAGCCTCAGACCACCTGCTCAAGCTCACTTTCCTCATCTTGCTCGCAGATTGACGAGATGCCTGAGGCTGCTGTGAAATCAACAGCCAACAAATACCAAGTGTTTTTTTTCGGGACCCATGAGACGTGAGTGACGGGGCAGCAGGTGGGGAGGGCCATGGGCGGTCCACTTTGGGGACACGGGTGGCTATGGTGCCCCTTCCCTGTTGGGCTGCGCAGCTCAGAGGCAGTGAGGGGCTCGAGAGCACAGTCTCCCATCTCTCACCAGGGCATTCCTGGGCCCCAAAGACCTCTTCCCTTACGAGGAGTCCAAGGAGAAGTTTGGCAAGCCCAACAAGAGGAAAGGGTTCAGCGAGGGGCTGTGGGAGATCGAGAACAACCCTACTGTCAAGGCTTCTGGCTACCAGGTGAGCTGCCAGCTGCCCAGGAGACCCCCTGGAGAGCAGGTGTGGACATAGGCTTTGGACACCCCGGGCCCACACTTAATGCTTAGTCTTCTGGAACAGGTCTCAGAAACACCAGGGCTTTCAGAGTAGGAGCTCATAGGGTGGAGGGGCGGGGGAGCCTTCTGCAAGAGGGGATGGGGTTGCAGGTGTGAGGTGTAGTTGTGGTGAGGCGTGGGGGGAGCAAGAACAGGATGGAGGCGGTAAGTGGGGAGGCCTTTGTTGGTCCCAGCAAGAGTGTAGGACTTGGCCTTAACTCTTCCACAAAGGCTTCCTGGAGGAGGTGCTCGTGAGCCGGGCAGGATGAGGCGGGAGGGTGGGGGGCGGGGGTTGGCGGGGAAAGGGTCCCAGCTCCCTTTGGGAGAAGTTGACCCGAGGTTTTGCCTCCTGCTCCAGCCCTCCCCCCTCCTGCACAGAGCCCTGCCTGCCCGGCCAGTGGGTTTACCCCGGGGCTAATCCGACAGAGGTGGGTCTCAAATCACTTGTGAGACTGGGCACCTGGGTGGGGGTGGGGGAGAGGTGGGAGAAGGAAGGAGTGAGTGGCCGAGGGAGGGGCCTGGGGAGGGGGCCTAGCATGGCAGCCACTGGTGCCACTCAGCCTCTGTTGTCACTGCCACAGTCCACTCAGAAAAAGAGCTGCGTGGAAGAGCCGGAGCCAGAGCCTGAAGCTGCAGAGGGCGATGGTGACAAGAAGGGGAATGCCGAGGGTAGCAGTGATGAGGAAGGGAAGCTGGTCATTGACGAGCCCACCAAGGAGAAGAATGAAAAGGGGGCACTGAAGAGGAGAGCGGGGGACCTGCTGGAGGTAACTGCCCCTCACTAGGGCCCAGGAACTAGGTTCCCCATCTGAGATGTAGGCCTGGTCACTGGTCTTGGGGAGCTGCTTGCTGAGAAGATGGGACACAGGAGACATTTCAGCCAGCAGAAGGCTGGGGAGGGTCCGGGGATACCCAGGAAGGAGCCTTTGGGGAGAGGAGGGGTGGGCACAGGCAGATGGCTACCATCGTTCCTGTCCAGCCTCAGCCCTCATCTCTGCCAATCCTGGCTAGGACTCCCCGAAACGTCCCAAGGAGGCAGAAGATCCTGAAGCGGAGGAGAAGGAGGTGGCCACCTTGGAGGGTGAGCGGCCCCTCCCTCTGGAGGTGGAGAAGAACAGCACCCCCTCTGAGCCTAGCTCTGGCCGGGGGCCTCCTCCAGAGGAAGAAGAGGAAGAGGCTGCCAAGGAAGATGCTGGGGTCCCAGGCATCAGAGATCATGAGAGGTGAGTAAGCCCCTGCCCTGCAGCTTGGCTAGGACGGCCCAGCCACCTGTGGAGAGGGGGAGGGGGAGGGGGAGGGCCTGCGGTTACCAGCCGCTCAAGAGGTGGGAGGCGGGAGGCCGGGTGGGCTTTTCCAGGAGATTGGCATTGGCTGGGGCAAGGGCAGGCCAAGGTCTCATCATTAACCCTTCTCCCCTCCAACCCTCCCCCGCAGCCTGTAGCCACCAATGTTTCAAGAGGAGCCCCTGCCCCGTTCCTGCTGCTGTCTGGGTGCTATTGGGGAAACTGGCCATGGCCTGCAAACTGGGAACCCCCTTCCCCATCCCAACCTGCTCTCTTCCACTCACTCTCCCTCCCCAAGCCCAGCCCCTGGAGACTGACTTGGATGTGGCAAGCTAGCTAGCCCTTACCTCCATGTCACTTTCATGTCTCCGTGCCCCTGTGATCTGAGTCAGGGCTACGTGTTCTGCTCCATGGGATGAGATGAGGCCTTTTGTCCTTCTCTGCCTGGAGCTGTCTCCTAGGATTTCTGTTGGGACCTGGACCAGCTGTTTCCACCTCCTGACACCCCTTTGCCCCTTCCCCAGGCAGTTTGGACCTCTGGGTTGGTTGCGATCAGAGTTCAGAGTAGAAAGGACAGAGGATAAATAGCAAGCATGGGCTTCTGGGACCTGAGAGGGGCAGTCCTCAAATTAGGGTGGGGAGGTGGGCAGGAGGATGGCATCTTCCTGAGCTCCTGTGCCTTCTTCCCACACCTATTATCTCAGCTGCCTAGAATCGGGGAAAATGGGACAGCTTGTGGTGGAGGGTTTCCCTTCCGTAAATTCTTGAAGATTGACAACACCGATTCTTTTTGCTAACCCCAGGAGCTCTAGGAGTTGTAGTTATTCATCAAAAGACTTTGAGGCTTCCCAGTTGTTTGGGCTAAGGACCTGAGATCTGAAGTGTTGACTTCACCCCGTTCAGATGGGAGCGTTGAGGAGTAGCTGTCGCCCCATTAGATCTTGGGCCAGAAGTGGGGTGCCCTGGGGAGACCCTTAGCCGCCCTTTCCCTCTCCCCACAGTGTTCAAGGCCAGCCTGCAGTTAACACGTCACCCAGACATATGGAGAAGACACATTTTTTAGGAAATGTTTTTAATAAAAGAAAATTTTAAAAAAATTTTGAAGACCCCTTATCCCTTTGTGTGCCTCCCCACCCACTGCTCCTTTCTTCCCCACTTTTGCCCTCATTTCTGAGGTACACTGGGAGGCTCCCTCTCTGTTTGGGCTTGATGATTTTCCTTTTGTAGCTGGGGCTTTGGTGTTCCTTCTGGTCTCATTTCCCATCCACATACTCCCACCTCATCTCCTCAGTGTTGTCACCAGATCTGATTTGTAACCCACTGAGCGGACAGGGAAATGAATACCTTTTCCCCACCTCTTTCTAGTGGTCTCTATGCCTCTTCCATCTTGTGTCTTGTTTCACCCTTGTCCCTCTCCCTAGGGCTCTGATGAAAAATTGCTGACTGTAGAAGTTTAGCTCTGAGAACCGTAGACAATTTCAGTTATAGAAAAATAAACCTGTTGATTACTACATTGAATTCTGACTGATTCTTTGAGGGATGGGGGTGGAAGTGTATTGGAGAGGGGGAGAAGGGAAGGGGAATACCAATGATTTCTATATTAACTTCAGATTGAGTTAGAGGGTGACAGCCTCTCCTCCATTCTCAGGCTGTTCAAAATATCCAAAATTCTACATGAGCGCAAAGTCACAGAATAAACTACACCATTTCTTTCTACTTCTCTTGCACACAGGCTCCCCCAGTAATCACCTGGGAATGTTAAAAAAAAAAAAAAAAGTTTGCACAAAGAGTAGGGTATAAGAAGGTGTCAATATCAACCAAAGCCCATGATGGCAATGGAAATGGCAGTATTTGGGTTGGTTGTAGAAGCAACTGACACCCAAATGTTAGAGCTAGGTATACCTGGCACCCTTAACCGGTGATTAGAGGCAAAGAGGTTGAAAGGGTGAAATCTTCCCAGTACTCCGAGTCAAGTTTAATGGCTGAATTAGATCATATGAGGTTCCTTCCAGATTTGACATTTTGTAACTAGATCACTGATGCACTGGAAGGGCCCATGTTTCATCCCTTCAGAAGGCCTATGGCAGTTTTTTAATCTCTTCTGGCCCCCTCCAACAGCGAAGGGCGTGTGCGGAAACTTGTCTGTACCCTTGTTGGAAAGGGTGTCCCTATCCAACCCTTGTTGGAAAGGGTTACTCACTGAGTAACTGAACTGGATGCCACACACTCCTAGAAAATGGAGTTACCATCTCAACTACAATTCCCAGCAACCCGCACACAGCATGCACAGGAATGTGCCAGGTGCAGCAGCGTATGCGTTTTGCCTCCAACGTCCGACGTGCTTCACGGTTATTTACGCTTCCTTGGTTTCCTACCCGACCCAATTTCCTGTTTCAGCTTGTTTCGTAGCGATGGACTACAACTTCCAGCGTACAGAAAGGCTAATTGGTTGAGCTTCCGCTCTATGATTAGACTACATTTCCCAGAAAGCCGAGGGGCGGGGCTCGGGGCCCACGTGCAACAGGTAATAATAGGCGGAACTTCCGGGACGCCGCGGGAAACGGTGAGGTTCTCACCGCCCGAAGCGTTGGGGACTTTGGGCTCGTCCGGGAGGCGGGTGAGGTAAGGGTCTTCCTTCTCCTGGGCCGTCGCTCAGTGGTATTGCTCAGATTTGCCCTGCACCGGAAACTTGGAGCGGGTAGGTGCAGCAGACTTGCTGGGGCTGGACGTCCCCCGCACCTTGTGATGGGGCTGGAGGGGAGGCCTTTGGAACTGACGCGTGAAGAGCAGACCCTCCACCGCAGTACCTTGCATGGCGTTTCCAGAGCATGTCGCGAAAGTCCCACTGTGAAAGGGACACCAGCCTCTCCAGGGTATGGCAGGAAAAAAGGAAAAGATCCAGGGGGATGGCTTTTGGGATCTGTTCCCAGAGCTTCAGATTTATAATGGCTGAGGTTAAGGGAACTCCTTGCAGTAGTCATGCAGGAGTCGTGGATCTCAAGATTGGGTCTGCTTCTGTTAAGGTGTATGATCTAGGACAGGCACTCTCGGGGCTTTGGTTTCCTTTATCTGTCTACCTCACTCACAAGGCAGAGGGAGGATGAAATACCAGTAATAGTGAAGTTCCCAGCATTAGATTTGTCTGTCACATAGTAGTAGTTAGTGCTCACTAACCATTTGTTGAATCCGAATGGGAACATTGAAACTCTATGACATTCAACTAGCATTAATTAAAAATAACATTAAGCCTTTTCCATGTTGAGGAGTAAAAAAAAAATGACACACTATCTCATTGTTTAGATAAACCTGTCGGTGTGGCTTAGTGCTTTGGGCGTCGGTCCGGGAACCGCAACGCCTCTGTTTTGATTTCCGGTCAGGGCACCTGCTTGAGTTGTGGGCCAGGTCCCTGGTTGGGGCCTTCGAGAGGCAACCGGTGGATGTTTATCTCGCACATCGATATTTCTCTCCCTCTCTTTCTCCCTCCCCTCCTCTCTCTCTAAAAATAAGTTTAAAAGTCTTATTTTAAAAAAAAACATGGTTAAAAATTCAAACGTTATGGCAAGGAACAAGATGGAAAATAACAGCCCTCCCAAAACAGTTCATCTCCCCCTAAACAAGTACTTGAGTTATTTCCTATTACCTGCCCATAAATATTTATGCCTGTACCAGAATATATATACTTTTTAATTTACCCAAACAGGATAATATTGTTCATTTTTAGGCATTAAAAAGAATTTGAATGTTAAAAAGAATTTGAATGACACCAACAACCCTGTAAAATTTTTATGGATGATGAAACTGATGCTCAGAAGTTAAGTTGCCTGGGGTTCCAGAATAAGGATGGTGAAGTAAGAACTATAACCCAGGTCATCTGACTTCCAGTCCAGAGCTCTGTATGCTGCTACCGTGCACTTTATTTGTACCTTGAAGCTAGCCTTCGTTCTTAGCTATAAAACAAGATTAATGGTACCTCCTTTCTCATTAAATGAAATGATACAGGAAAGCACATAGCATGGCACCTGGCAGATAGCAAGTGCTCAGTAAATGGAAGCACTTATTTTTGCCCTTAGTTCTCTCACCACCTTGTAGATTTCGTTTATCATCCAAAATTGGGAGGCTTAGAGCACATATGTGTTTGGGGAATTTAGGACACAATAACCCTAAAGTCTGATTCTGGGTCCTTTTCTTTTAGAAAAGAAGCTATCTTAAAGAGGAGCGGTCTTTTTCCTGATCGAAGATAGGAATTGGAAGTGGTGTAGGGATATTTTAATTTTAGTTTTTATTTCCATTCCCTGTTTGTTTGTTTGTTTTACTTTATAACTGCCTGCTTTTTCACCTTATGCCAGTGGTTTGTTCCATCGTTTGTTTGTTTTTGTCTATCCTGTTGTTTGTGCATATATTTAATAACTTTTTATTGAGTACCTACTATCTGCTGGATTCAGAGGTGAGCTAGATAATGTAGTTCCTGGCCTCAGTGAACTTTTTGGAATTTGAAGTCAGACGTGTGTGGGTTTGAATGCTGATTCTTTTGCATAGTAGTTTTAGGACCAAAGGCAAGTCAGTTAACCTCTCTATTTCATCTGTAAAGTGAAGGTAATATATTGTGGGGGTTCAGTGAGATGAGGCCCACTGAGCAGTGGAGTACTTTAAAAAAAAATCCTTCCTGCCCTGGCTGGTGTGGCTCAGTGGATTAAGTGCCAGACTGCGAACCAAAGGGTCATTGGTTCAATTCCTAGAAAAGGCATATGCCTGGGTTGTAGGCCAGGTCCCCAGTAGCGGGCACCTGAGGGACAACCAGACTTTGATGTTTCCCTCCCTCTCTTCATCCCTCCTCCCTCCCAAAAATAAATAAAGTCTTTTTAAAAAATTTTTTAAAATTTCCTTCATTTGCTGCTTTGCCCCCTTCTTTCTACCTGTGTACTCCAGAGCTGACTAGGAAGGTTTCTGGGTCTTTCACTGGCCAGGGGATTCCTCTGAACCTTCAGCCATGCGTCTCTCTGCAATGTTGGCCTTGGCATCCAAGGTCACGCTGCCCCCCAACTACCGCTATGGGATGAGCCGCCCAGGTTCTCTGGCAGACAAGAGGAAGAACCCTCCGGGGACCAGGCGGCGCCCAGTGGCTGTGGAGCCCATTTCTGATGAAGACTGGCATCTGTTCTGTGGGGATAGGGTAAGAACCTCAGATGAGGCAGAGTGCTGGTGGGGCTTCTGGGGAAGGATCTCCCTCCCTGACCCTCATCATGTATTGCCACAGGTGGAGGTCCTAGAAGGCAAGGATGCTGGGAAGCAAGGCAAAGTGGTTCAAGTTATCCGGCAGCGAAACTGGGTGGTCCTGGAGGGGCTGAATACAGTAAGTGAAGAGTGGGGATGGGGATTCTTAGGAAGCCTATCCCATCTATCCCTGTCTATTAAGAGCAGCACAGGGAGCCCTGCCTTGTGTGGCTCAGTGGATTGAGTGCCAGCCTGTGAACTAAAAGGTTGCTGGTTCAATTCCCAATCAGGGCACATGCCTGGTTTGTGGACCAGGTACCCGGAAGGGGGCACGTGAGAGGCAACCACACATCGATGTTTCTCTCCCTCCCTTCCTCCCTCCCTCTCTCTCTAAAAATAAATGTATGTTTTTTAAAAAAAAAGAAAAAAAAAAGAGCAGCACAGGGAGTTAGGAGATTGGCTGAGGGGATGGTGAGCCAACTGAACCTTCTGGTTTTCAACATGGGCTGGATGCTCAGAGCTGTGGTAAGCAAGTCACCTTCACACCCTTTGATTGCTGGTAACTCCCCCTCTTTTGGACAGCATTACCGCTATATTGGCAGGACCAAGGATTACCGGGGGACCATGATCCCTAGTGAAGCACCTCTGCTTCACAACCAAGTCAAACTTGTGGATCCTGTGGACAGGCAAGTATGTGGGCTCTGGTCAAAGGGTTTCCCATCCTGAGTTCACGTGGATGTAAACCACATTTACCGAACAGGGATGGTGGCTTGGATGCTCTGGAAATTGAGAGGGGCCACCTCATGGACATGACCCTCTGTAGGCAATTCTAATACAGAGGTAGCATTTTTCAGCCATTGAATTTTAGGCTGTGGAGTACCAGGGAGACCTGGCACCCAAGCCTTGTTCACCTTTTCTATCTACTAGGAAACCCACTGAAGTGGAGTGGAGATTCACTGAGGCGGGAGAGCGGGTCCGAGTTTCCGTAAGATCAGGAAGAATCATTCCCAAACCTGAATTTCCCAGAGCTGATGGCATTGTCCCTGAAACATGGATTGGTGAGGCTGGATGAGGGACAGGAAGATGGGGGTGGGGTAAGTGGGAGTAAGGGATGTTAACTCTCATCCCTCTTTATTCCTCTGGCTCAATAGATGGTCCCAAAGACACATCAGTGGAAGATGCTCTAGAAAGAACCTATGTTCCCCGTCTAAAGACTCTGGAAGAGGAGGTGATGGATGCAATGGGGATCCAGGAGACACGGAGACACAAGAAAGTCTATTGGTATTGAACCTGGGGAGAGCAGCTTTTCCCCGCTTAGCCTTGAAGGCTTGCGTCACATTTTCTTTAGTCATCAGTAAAGAGCCGTGAGTTCTCCACTGTGTGTAGCTACTGTCTTCTGGCACCCCCAACTCTACCTGTTTCAGGGACTGAAGGGAGGGAATATCTGCCCCAGTGTTATGACAGAATCTGGAATGGAAATTAGCTAGCCTTAAGATGGCCTTCCCCAAGAGCAGGGCTTAGATTCCACGATGGAGACCAATGGAGACCTGAGTAACAGAAGATGCCACCTGTTCTGAAGGGCAGTTGGGGATGTGAGACCTAATTGTTACACCTCTGCAGGATCTGGGAAGGGTGCACCTCTGTCCTTTTCTATATTGAATAGAAATGGAAGGGAAATAAAGACTCTTAATTTTTTAATAATTAAAAATAAATTTTACATAACATGAGGAGGGAGAAAGCTGAAGGTCTGTGGGGCATCAAGATTCCAGGAGGTATGCAGGATGTTCATTCTCTGGGTGAGGAGTGCAGACTTTGCCACCCACTGTGGCACCTGGATCCAAGATGTGCCCGTCCGCAGGCTGTATCAGCTGTCTTCAATCTCCAGAGCAGAGAAGGCCTGACCCAGGGGCCTCTTGGTGGCCACCAAAACCAGGTTTCTGGGGGAGAGTTCAGGGCTGAAGATGGGCAGGAGCTCAGAATGGAAGCCTGGGAGAAAGGCAGAGCTACTAAGAAGAGAAATGAAGCCCTCTCAGCCCCACTTTGCGCCCAGGCCACAGGCCTGCGTAGCCGCTTTCCCCACGGGGGAAGCTCCCCCAGGACACCGAGTTCTCCATCAGGAGCACCAGTGCCTGAGGCACTGACTTGGAAGGCACAATGCTGGTTCCCAAAGCCTAGGGTGCTTTGCTTAGAACTCATGCCAGAAGCTGATTCAATAGAAATCTATGTTTACAAGTCCCCCACCCCACTCCTGCCACTGGCGACTCTGAAGCAGATGGCCTAAGAATCACCACAGTGAGGAACTGGGACCTGAAGGAGGAACCCCAGGCCCTCTAACCCTGGGTCCCTGCTCTAAGCCATGCTCACCCTGCTCCTGAAGGTACAGCAGCCGGTCCAGTAGAATCAGTGTCTCCACCAGGGGGGCCAGCAACAGGGCCAGGCTGAAGAAGGCCACCACACGGTTCTCCTGGGCCTGGTGGGCCCGAAGGGCAGCCAGGTTCAGTGGCAGCTGGGGATCCAGTCCCACCCGCTGTAGCCCCCGCTGCACATATCTGTGGGGTCAGCATCACACAGCACTCAGTTTGGTTTTAGGGACCTCCGCCTCCCACTCACAAACTGTCAGCTCCTAATTGGACTCCAGCTTTGCTTTATTTGCTACCCTAATTTGCATTTCAAATGTTTCTCTGGCTATCAGCTGTCTGTCCAATAACAAATTGATCCAAAAGTGTATTTTCAGCCAGATCTGTCCCATTAGCCATGTTTTTAGCATTTAAAAACCCCAACCAGGTCTCCTGATAAGAGTGACAACTCCCTTTTAAAGAAACTGAGAAACTGCCCCAGTCAGAGAACTCGGAATCACTCCCCTGGGAGCATTAGGTTTTCTTTAGAACTAGCTAACAAGTGAGGGTGGGAGGGGAATCAGACCTCCAGCTGGCTCCTGACATGAACCCCCCAACCTCCCCAGCCTCACTCTTCAATCTTGAGTTCATGGGCCCTGGGGATCCCTTGTACGCCTGGCCGACGGAGCTCGGGCTGGGCGTGCCGGATGACCGTCTCTAGTGCTGCCCGGTAGCAGTGGGTCCGGAGGCCAGGGCCTGCTTTCTGCAGCCTCCCGGCATATTCCTCCAGGGCGTGGCAGGCCCCTTCCCGCAGCCTGTAGGACAGTTCGTAGCCGGGCAGTGCAGCCACCCACTGACTCAGCGGGTAGCCACCAGGGTCGCTCAGCTTCATGTAGCAGCAGCCCACTGAGGCCAGGGCCACCACTTCAGGGCAGCAGGAGAAATGCCTCAGCAAGGCGACACTCAGGTCCCCGCAAGCATGGAGACCTGTCAGCAGCAAGCGGGCCCCACCCTGAGGTGAGTTCGCCAGTGGAAGCAGAAGCTCCTCACACAGGGTCTTGGAGTCGACCCACTGAACCACGTGGTGCGGGGAGTGGCGAGAGCCAATTTGCGCCACCTGTGGAGGCAGGAAAGGACAAGGCAGGTGGGAAGTTTGCTGTCCCCATGCCACCTCTGGTTGCAGAAGGGATCTGTCCTCTGTTCTTTCCCAAGGAAGGAGGGGGATGAGAAGCTGGGGCATGGGAGAGAGCTAAACCTTGAATGAGGACATGGGATATATTACGGATGTATCATTAGTAACTGCAAATTTTTTCATCTCTGAGCCCATTTCCTCATCTGTAGTGAATGTAATACCTGACTGGCCACTTCACAGTTTGTTGTGAAATGGACATCAGTGTGGAAAGCACTAGTATGTAACTAGAGAGTGCCTTTAAGGTGTGAAGAGGCTTTGCTGAAGGGGAAACCTGGAGAAAGGATTAGCAGGAAAAAGGACCACATCATCTCAAGCTGAGAAACTTGAAAGAATCCAGCCAGTCAGGCCCTGCTCCTGCAGTTCTGGCTGCAGTAAGGGCTGGCCTACCCGCGGGTTCCTTTTCTCTTCTTTTTCCAGAGCCTGCAGGAGCTCCTGGTCCAGGCGCTGGGCTCTCTCCACCAGTCTCTGATCCCCTTCGATGCTCTTCACTTTCAGCCCCAGCCCCAGGGACATGAAGCGAGAGAGATGGCCCTGCAATCATGAGAGGGACAGTAGAGATGGCCCTGTTCAACGCTCCTATCCACTGTCACCTTCTCTATCAGTGGCCTGGACACCTAGGTCACAGGCTCCCAGGACTTAAATCCTGCCTTGTTTACTTCCGCCACTCCTTGGTACCCACCTCTCTGGGCTTGGGGCCTGACAAGTTGCCTTCCAGCTCTTCTAGCCCCATGACTCCCCCCCCAAAAAAAAACAACAACCCCATAATGTTAGAAGTGTGTCTGGCTCACCTGGCCTGAGCCTACATCCACAACCTGGGTGCAGCCTGTGAGGTTACTCAGCTTTTTCACCAACTGAAAAAGGAACAAAGGTCTCTTGGCCATTGGTTCTTGATTCCCGGGGCCATCATCCCTAATGAGGGTGGAGGGGCTTAAGATGGCAGAGGAAGAGGGGTTGAGGATACCATGGAAGAGATGAGATAGGGAAACTAGTACTAGGGGTGCTGACCCCAGGTTCCTTGCTCCTCTCAGGTAAGTATTCAGTCTCCCCCATAGAACAAGCAGAGCCCCCCCCCGTGAAGCCATGAGCAGATTATAGAGGTGTGAAAACAGGAATTTCAGTCATAGCTACCAACCAATCCAGCAAAAGGATTAAAAAAAAAAAAAAATCCCCCAATCCAGCATAGAGATGTGATTTTAGTATGCCTGCCAAGGAAGCAAACTTCTAGGCCCTTTGGTCCTGAAGGTGATATAAGGTGCCCATATCTTTGTAACTCACCAGCTTAAGAAGTCACCAGGCTCCCAGACACCACCTATACCCCAAGCATCCCCTTACCTGTCCCATTCTCCGGATCTCATGCTGCTTCTTGGGTCTGACGTGTTTTCGGAATGGAGCTGTAAGTCGGGAGCTCTGACTGGGGTTCTCCAGAAACTCTGAGGGGGTCTGAAACCCAGGTGTCCGGGTAAAGGCCAGGGCATAGGCTGTGGACTTCAGGGCCAGCAGGGTGAGTGGCCACACCGACCTGTATCTGAGATAGCCCCGCCCAGACCCGCAGTGAATAGTCCCATTATGTCTTGAGTGCACGAGTTTACAACCCAGGAAGCCCTTGTGAGACTCAGAGCAATGGCTGGCTGCAGGGTTCAGTGCCAAGTCCCCCAGCACAGGGCCCCCCTTGCCCATACCTGACTACTTCCCCTTCCCTGGGCATCCCTAGCAGCAGTGTGGCCAGCTGTGGCGGGTTCAGTCCATCCAATGCTTCCTGCCATGAGCAAGGGAGTGTGCCCCACAGGTTGTCTGTAAAAAATTCCTGCAGAAGGGGAGAAGTAATCAACAGGCTACTCCTGACTGGTGTGGCTGAGTAGGTTGAGCGTTGTTCTGCAAACTGAAAGGTCACAACCAATTGATGTTTCTCTCCCCCTCTCTTTCTCCCCTCCCCGCTCTCTAAAGAAGTCTTAAAAAAAAAAACCACACAAAAAACACAGGCTATTACTTTCCCCATTCTTCCCCACCCCACTCTCAACACAGGGCCACTGGATGCAACCAACAGGTACCCCCTACTCATCTGAGTCACCTCATCTCTAAAGCCTGTTCCAGAGTCCCGCTCCTTCCTCGGAGACCAGAATGCATTCTAAACACATCTCTTCTTTTATCAGTTTTGTACTTATTTATGTATGTTTTTTTTTCCACTCAACTACACCTAAGGGTAGGGATGGTGTCTTCTTTACATCAGCATCCCCAACACCACTGTGACTGACATGCAGTATTGGTATGTTACCATTTAGTAACCTACTGTTATATATGCCAGACACTTGATATGCCAGAATGTATTTTTATTCATTCATTCATTGAACACAAGTTGTGGAGCTTTGGTTATGCACCAAGCTCTATTCTAGGCTCAGGGGATACAGCAATGAACCAGGAAGACAAACTTCTTGCTCTTGCAGAGTTTATATAAGGAAAAAAAAAACCCAGGTAACATCAAATGCCACATAGACAATAAAACACTAACGAAATGTAAGGAAACTTTTAAAGAGTACTTTAGATGGAGTAATGAGGGAAGACTTGAGCTGACACTTGAGCTGAAACTTGAATGATTACCAGGGAACAGTCACGTTAAAAAAATTCAGGTAATAGCAAACACTTATAAAATAATTTAATATGTCAGGCACTGTTCTAAACATTTTATATTTGTAATAACACATTTATCCCCTATGAGGTAGGTACCATTTTTATCGCTCATTTTACAGATGAGAAAACTGGCACCCTGGCCAGGTGGCTCAGTTGGTTGGAGTGTCATCCTGTACACCAAAAGGCTGCAGGCTCAATTCCCGGTCAGGGCACATACCTAGGTTGCAGGTTAGATCCCAGGTATGGGCATGTAGGGGAAACAACTGATTAACATATCCTGGGGTGAGAATTAAAAAATAAAACAAAACTGGCAACACAATTAAGTAACTTGCCCAAGTTAAAAAGCTAGTAAGTAGCAGAGTTTGGATTTGAAATCAACCTGACTCGAATTCTTGCTTTTAACCTTACCTTTCTGTTGGGGAAAAACATAGTCATGATCAGATTTATATTTTAAAGAGATCAATCTGGCTGCTTGTGAGGAACTGATTATGGGGGGTAGAGGGTTTGAAGTAAACACAGATTTGTTAGTTAGTAGTCCAGGAGAGAGATGATGGTGTCTTGGCCCAGGGTGGTAGCAATGAAATGGAGACAAATGGTTTAATTTGGCATTTTTTTTCTGGAGATAGAGCCAGGAGGACTTGTTGAAGGATTGGACTGTAGATCAGAGAACTGAATCAAGGATGGCTTTTGGGTTTGTGGGCTGAACAATTCAGCAGATGCTGGTGCTATTAACACATCATCTAATTTATTTTTCACAATGATCCTTCAAACAGGAATCCATTTTGCAGCTGAGAAACTAGGGCTAGGAGAAATTTTATTTAATGCCTAAGGTTAACGCAGTCGGGGAGGCAGGATTCTAGTTGGAGCCTATCTGATTCCAAACGTGAAACTGTCCATTATATTACAAAATCAGAAATTTATTCAAAGCGTGGGTGAATGAACTTGTGTGTTCTTGGATCGCCTCACACGTTCCCAGGAAAGTTCAACGCATCTGCAGCATGGCTCAAATGTCCATGCGTTTTATTACCTCGGATTTGGAAAAGTTAGAAAAACCACCTAGATATTAGAAATATTAATATATGTGTCATCTATAAAAAAAGGGAGACTCATTCCAGTTTTAAGCCCTTCTTGTAAAGGCACACTGAAAGTCATGGAAGAGATCGGAAGCTAACTCCAGAGTATCTCTCTGTCGTGGGCACCTAGCCAAGCACACAACCAGGAGCACCCGCCACACCCCCATGGCCTCACGATGATGTAGGCGTCCAGGATGGAACGGTAGAGCGACAGGACACGGGTGAGGTTCACAGCTAGCTGCCTCCTCTCCTCCTGAGAGAGGCTCCGAGCGGAAACACCCGGCATCCGGGGTCCAGCGGGTGGCTCCGGGCGCGGGAACGCGGCGACGAGGGAAGCAGGGTCAGCACCACGCGCGTCCAGGACTTAGCGTGGGCTCGGCTCTGCAGAAGAAACCGGCCTGCATTGGCCCCCGACGCCGTCTTTCCCGGATTCCAGGTAGAGGCTGAAGACCTAAGGAGTCCTCCTGACGTTCACAGGCCGCGACGCGCACTGAGCACAGGTGTAAGCGTTGAGGGCGAGCAGGGGTGGGGCGCCGAGTAGTGACGCCACAGAGGCAGGCCTCGGCGTCCAAGTCCCGCCCCCTTCCCGTGTACTTCCCGCCCATCCCCGGAAGTGAGGCTCGGGGTTCCGGCGCACGGCAGTTGCCGTTTGTCGCGGCCTCCCCACACCACCGACTTGTACCTCCACGGGGCCAGAGGGACCGGGGGAGCGCCCACGCCCACGCCCACGCCTCCGCCTTTGCTCAGGCCACTGCCCTGGCCTCGGTCCCAGAGGCAGAGTCCGTGGGCACGCTCGGGCGAGCGTGTTCCCGTCCCCGCGCCTGCCGGCCCGGGCCCCATAGGTGCGCGCAGATTTCCGTGTCCGACTCCGGGCGTTTCCGGTCTTAGCGGGCCCATCTGGGAGGTAGGTGATCGTGGGGAGAACGGGCTCCGTGAACGGGACCGCCAAAGTGTGCTCTGCCCCCGACCTCGGCTTTCACCCCTGCTGTTACGTGTTGTCAAAGGTCCTCTCTTGGGAGGCCTTGGGTGAGAAGCCTGTGGAGATTCCCTACACCTAGGACCCGCGCTGGGGATGCTTGGGTAATCTAGATGCCATCTATATATGCCGCACTCGTCACTGGCTTCAAGCGTACATAGATGTTCCCTCCTTGGGCAGATGTGGAGCTCACCTATTCTGGCTTTCCAGACTCACAGAGACAGTCGAGCTGGTTGGCCCTTCAGCCCTCTCAGTTTACAAGTGAGACGGATCTAGAGAGGGGCAATGACCTTCCTAAGATCATAGAGCTGGTGAATTGTGGGCTTGTCCTCAGACAGTGCTCCTAACTCCATTTCACATTACAGCTTCATTCCCCCTCTATCAGGGAGGTTGCTCTGATGTATTTCCTCCCTTAAGACCTATGGAAATGAGTTATTTTTCTCCCAGGCCTTTGGGCTCTGTTATCAAGTTCACTTTCTTCCCCAGGGTATATTACAAACTTTTGGATGTTGGTCTGTGGGATTCAGCAGAGGATGAGTTCTCTATCCTTTCATTCGTAAGCCACTTTTCCCGACTGTTCTATCATCCACCATCGTCATGTCTACCTTACTCCTCAATCTGGATTTTGGTGAACCTCCTCCAAAAAAGGCATTGGAGGGGAATGCCAAGCACCGAAAATTTGTCAAGAAGCGGCGGCTCTTGGAAAGGAGAGGTTTTCTGAATAAGAAGAACCAGCCCCCTGGCAATGTGCCTAAGTTGCGCCCAGAACCTCCAAAGAAAGGGGAAACTCCTCAGATGGATGATACTTTGAAAATCCCACTCCCTCCAAAAAAGAAGACTGCTGCCTCCAGCAGTGGGTCAGAGCAGTCCCTGGACAAGAAAACTTCTGTGCCTTGGCTGACCCCTGCCCCTTCACAGAAGACTGGTTCTGTTGTGGCTAAAGTAGATTTGCTGGGGGAGTTCCAGAGTGCCCTTCCAAAGATTAAGAACCACCCAACTCGCCACCAGAAGAAGGATCCCCAAAAGAACCCTCCGCAGAAGAATACCCCACAGAACTCCACCTCAGCTCATTCAGAGAATAAATGCTCTGCAGCATCCCAGACAATGCCAAGGAAGATGGTGGCAATTGACTGTGAGATGGTGGGTACAGGACCCAAGGGGCATGTCAGTTCCTTGGCTCGATGTAGCATCATCAACTACAATGGAGATGTGCTCTATGATGAGTACATCCTTCCCCCCTGCCACATTGTGGACTACCGCACCAGATGGAGTGGTATCCGCAAGCACCACATGGTGAATGCTACGCCCTTCAAAATTGCCCGGGGACAGGTGAGAGGCATTGGGCACTATCGTAGCAGCGAGGTGGGTGGGGAGAAGTCCAGGCAGGTGTGCACAGTGTTGGTGGTGGAAGAAGGCAGAATGTTTACAGAAGGAGGTTGGGCATTATTTGTGTAACTGAGACAGGTAGCCTGCAGTGAAGGGGATAGGAAAGGTGGCCGATGTGTCTGTCTTCACCCGTTGAGCTAACCTACTCATTGTAGCCCTCTGTTGGGAACGGGGAGCTCTTGGCAAATGGCAAATGAACGACAGGAAAGGGGGGTGTGTCAGTAGAGGCGATGGAAGGGAAGGAGGGGAGCTTACTGGCCTTGGGAAGCCTCCAGAGGGCGCCTGTGGTCCACCTCTTTGTAATTGCAACTTCACATTCTTTGCCTTCTCTAGACACATTCCGTTACAATATTTCCTTATATGCCACAACAGTCAGTTGGAGGAGGCTCATCAGAGGTGAAAAGGTTGGATTTTACAAAGAACTTGAAAGGAAGAGCTGAAAAACCCATGCATTAGCATCACAGCTGAGCAAAGTCTTGGGAGAGGCAAAAGATGGGGTGGGCCTGAGATAGCAAACCTGCTCAGCTTTAACAAAGGCTATGTGTTGAAGTTAATGCAAGTAAAGGTGCTGGTGGACAGTAAACTGCAGATGAAGTCAGGAGCAACTAAATACCTAGTTGATTAGACTGCATCTGGTTTTCAACATAAATCATTTCCTCAGTGTCCAAGCTGGATATAAAACTAAGGTATATCCACATGAGGCTGGCCCCTAGCAAGGGGTCTCATTGGGAGGCCATGTACTGATTTTTCCAAGACTGTTGCTTTTGTTTAAAACCTATTTGGACAGAAACTAATAAAGTATTCTCTAAATAATGAAAACAAAACAAAACCTATTTGGAACTCCATTTTGGGAATGGCCTTCGGAGCCCATGGCATATTCTTTGGTTGTCCTCACGAGTAATATGTCAACATACTTTAAGATCCTGAAATGGTGAGAAGTTATTTGGTTCCAATTCTGGTGTGAATAAGGTTCCTAAACGGCTCATAGGTTCCTCTGGATATGAGCAGGAGATCTATAAAGCAGTGGGACTGACTTTCTGTTAAAATAGCACAAGCATGGGTCACCTGATCACTTCCCTCTGCAGCCTTATTCTTACGTGATTCTAAATGTTTCAGGGCTTGTAGACCTTTTGAGAATATGATGAAAGCCTAGACCTTCTCCTCACAAAAAAACAAACAAAAATATATGTAGGTATATCAATTTGCCTGTAATTTTGGGCTTCCATCGCCTCCCTGGAGCCCATCTTTGATTCCATTTGTCCCAGCCTTGTGCCTAAGGCTGGCATAAAGATAACAGTCAAAGAACTTCAAGTAGCAAGCCAGAGCTGAACTAGATGCTTTATAGTTACATAAGCATCTTGAACGTGAGTGTAATTTGGGACTGTAGGCAAATTAATCTATCATTGGGATGGAAATTAGTGTGAAGGTAAGGAGCCACTGACAATGTAAGTCCAAAAAGGATTACACTGTGGTCCTGGCTTGGTAGCTCATTTGCTTAGAGTGCCAAGGTGCCCTGATGTGCCAAGGTCATGGGTTTGATTTCCAGTCAGCGCTCATACAACAGTCAACCAATGAATATATTAATAAGTGGAACAATAAATTGGGGTTTATCTTTCTGTAGGGTTACACTGTGAAAAATACCTACTTTCAGGGAGGGGTAGGGAGGGACTGGGTGAAAGGTGAATGGATTAATAAGTACAAATTGGTGGTTACAAAATAGTCATGGGGATGTAAGTACAGAGTAGAAAATATAGTTAATGATATTGCAGTAACTATGTATGGTGCCAGGTGGGTACTGGAAATACAGGAACATATACAGAACATCTTGTATACGGTTGTCTAACTGCTGTATTGTATACCTGACACCAATACAAAATAATACTGAAAGTAAACTAAAATAAAAAAACAAAAATGTTTTGTGTTTGTTGAAAAATAAAAAACACAAAAACAAAACAAGAAAAAATCTACTTTCACCTTGGGAAGAGGAGATAGATTTCAGGTGAAAGAAAACTTGTAGGAGAGGGCATTTCAGGGATGAGGCTGGCGGACACTTGACGGGAAAAAATCTGAAAGGACCTAGGACCATGATGGACTTTTAGGACTCAGGGCTCCACCTGAGTTCTTCTAATCACCATCTCTTCCATGCTGCTTTCAGATCTTGAAGATACTTACAGGGAAGATAGTGGTGGGACATGCCATCCACAACGACTTCAAAGCCCTTCAGTACTTTCACCCCAAGTCTCTCACCCGTGATACCTCCCACATCCCCCCTCTCAACCGCAAGGCTGACTGCCCAGAGAATGCTACCATGTCTCTGAAGCATCTCACCAAGAAACTCCTCAACCGGGACATCCAGGTAGCATCTTCCCAAATGATGCCAGGCCCCCTGCTTGGACACTGTGGAGGCGCTCCTTGCTGTGTCTCTAGGCTCTGACCCCAGAATTTTTTTGGTTGTGGAGCGATTCAGGCAGCCCGCCCTTTTAGGAAGAGTGTTGGCATAAGAGGCCCATTTGTCTCTCTCTAGGTGTACATAAGGATAATAATTCCTGTTCTCTACCTCACAGTGTTTTAAAGGGTACTTGGAAAAGGAAAAAAAAAGCCTTAATTGGGTATAAAACCCTAGGAAAAGAGCGAAGTCAGGTAGTGGTGGTGGTGTGAAGAGTTCATTGTGCTTGCAAAGACCTCTCATGTATTTCGCATGGTTGGCATTCAAGGAAGGGGTGACCTGCCTGGTAAGAGGGTGTAGACACATGTTATATAGAGAGAGTTAAGGAACTGGGGAAGATGGAAGACTCTGAAGACCGAGCTATGATCTGGATGTCCTGTTTCTACAGAGTGTAGAAAAATATGGCATACATGTGGTGCCACAGAAGGGATTAAGCAGACATTAGCAAGGGCTTCCTAGGAGGTGAACCCTTGAAATTAGGTAAGGGAAAGGGCCCCACGAGAGTTCTACCTTTGCAGCCCACTAACTGCAGAAACAACAGCTTGTATTGAGGTTGAGGGGAGCCAGTAGGGAAGTGAGGCAGGGGAGCACACTGTCTTGTAGCCTCATGCTCTTCTCTTCCTCCCTTGTTCAGGCTGGAAAAAGTGGACATTCCTCTGTGGAAGATGCTCAGGCCACCATGGAGCTGTACAAACTGGTTGAAGTCGAGTGGGAACAGCACCTGGCTCAGAATCCCCCCAAAGATTAGCAGCCGTGGGGGCACCCGTGAGGAGAGGAGGCAGAGGCAGAGGCAGCACCACACGCAGGAGAAACAGGGCAGTGGACCAATGGACAGCCCTACCAGCTCATACCTTTGGAAACCAGAATTGTTGGGAAGAAAGAGGCTGCATCCCAGACTTAATATGTATTGAAATCTCACCTCAGGTGTTGTGTCCTGTGTCTGCTTAAGTGTCCCATGGAAGGAGGAATCTCCATGTCAGCGCCCAGCCCTATATGTTTACCTGTTAAATGGTGCTAACCCACAGGTCCCAGAATGCTGTGTTCTAGGCAAGCTTTTTGACTTTCAAGGGGCAGGGCATGCTGGGAAGTTTAGTTTCCCAGACTGCCTTATCACTTGGGTGGCCGTATGTCCCATTGTATGCCTTTTGTTCTTGAGTAATTAACAGCAACCTCTTTCACTTTCAGAAGTGTCCTGATTGGATGATAATTGTATGATCACATTGCATATCAAAGTGTACATTTAGTCTGTCAGGATATTGCCTACTTTTCCCATCCTGACTGAGAGGAGCCATCCCCGGTGAAGTTTAGTTCTTCGGGTTACAAGGCAGTAGATGTAAGAGAGTGTGGCTTGGAAGTCAGCTTTTATGATTTAGCAAAGCATTCTCTTTCTTAAAGCAATAGAGGATTGTTCGACTTAGATCCCACTTGATAGGTTAAAAAAAAAATGTAAAGTCTTTTACTTTGCTGAAACAAGCCTCTAAAAACCCAGTCTATTCCTTTGATAAATTCTTCCTCATTGATAAATTTTAATAATGGAAAAATAAGTATGTGGTGTTTTTCTTTTTTTTATTTAGTTTTTTATATATTTTTCAATCCTCACCCAAGGATATGTTCATTGATTCTAGGGAGAGAGAGAGAAACATCGATTGGTTGCCTCCCGTATGTACCACCCTGACCCGCAGGCTTTTGGTATACAGAACAGTGTTCCAGCTGGGCCATCCAGCCGGGGATTAACTCGCTTTGTCACAAGGTCTTGTAGAGCTGTAATTCCGTAAGGGGTTCCAGCATCTGGGTGGCGCTGCCTGGGTCCTGCTTTGCTGGAAGTCACCGGGAAGCACTGACAAGTCTTTGTGTAGCCCATGTGCTACGGTGCCTTGACCTCACCCTTCCCACAAATCAAGAAGTGCACCTCACATCACACCTGAAGCCATTAGAACACCTTTACACAGAGTGCATGTGACCAGGAGAGTGACTTAATGGGCACATGGGAGTGTTGGAGCAAGAGGAAGAGCGCTTAGTGACGCTAGCCTTGTTCCTCCTGCTTTCTCTTCCTTGGTGCACACCCTCATTTGGGGAAGGTGAGTCACAGGCCTGACCTTGTGTTTGAGATAATTGTCAAGAGAACGCAGACTCCATATGTATACCCGCACTTGTGCCCTCTTGAGTGGCTGGTTTGGCTCCAGGGCCCAGAGTCACAGACATGGCTGCCTGTAGCAGCAATGGTTAGGACAGGACCTGACATGGTCTTGTCACATCCTGTGGTGCAGAGTCTGCTTGCGCAGTCAGATGTTAAGCTCTGAGAAAATTGGTCACTGCTTAGCCCAACTTGAAATGTCCACGACACTTCACAAAAAGGTGCCAGGGACCCCCCCACACTAGGAAGGCCACGCCCCACCTAGACCTTCACATGTAAGTTACATTGTGATCAGTTAACTAGAAAATCCTCATCTGAGTTCAGTTTTTGGGTCACCTGTTGGTTGAAACAAACCTGGCTTTGTATGTATATTGAAAGTAGCAACTGGTTTTTACGCTTCATCCCCTCACCCCAAAACCCCCATCCCCATGTTCTGAAGGGGGTCTGGTCTCAGTCCAACATTGGAAAGAACTCAGTCTTATTTTGCTCACCAGGAAGAACCTGAGGGATGAAAGGACCTTGCATTGTTTTCTCTTACCACACTTTCTGATCAGAACCCAACTCAACCTGCAAGGGTACCTGGGGATACAATGTCATTCAGCCCCCTTTCTTTCCCCACAACCCTCTGTCCCCAAGATCCTGGTTTCATCACCTGATAATAGAAGAGCCTCACTGCATACGGCTGCCTGAATCCCTGTCAGCAAGTCCGTTAGGGCTTTAAATCTAAGATCCTTCAGAGTGGACCATATTCCTGACAAAACACAAGTTCTTCTAATAATCTCTTCATGATAATGATGTTTTCTAATGCTAAGAGACCACCTACTGCAGATGAACATGAGAAAAGGTGAAGATTGAGAAGTATATCTACCAATCATAAACCTGATTGTCTAAAACTTCACTTAACAAAGTGGTTCTCAAAAGAAGAAGGGGGAGTGTATTTTGAAATTTCAGATGATAGCACTGCCCCTCCCTCCACCTTCAAGAAACACAGATCAGACTCAGAGAGCAGGATGACAGCTATAGGGGTGGGGGGTAGGTTAGGAGTTTAAATGGTAATGGAAAAAAAATTCAATTTTTTTAAAAGAACCACTGATCTATTGAAGGCTCCAAAGAGGAATCATTTCATTCTTAGTTTAGCAGATGATTACATCTGACAATAAGATCAACAGTACTGTAATTATGAACTTGCCCCAAGGTACGTTAGCCCAAGTCCAAGTTTAGAGACAAACATTCATGTATGCAACATGCCAGGTAAATACCCTACATTTATAGTCTGTGTATTGTACACAAAGCAATTGGATAGGGGAACTCAAGAGTTAAACATTTTAGCCTTAGTTATCATTGAGATGCTTAAGTGATTAATGCATGTGGAAAGCTGTTACTCCAGGAACCGGAATGCATGACCTACCTGACTCCAGGAAGTCAGCAAGCAATTCAGCCTGTGTGCCCCAGGGCATCTGCAAATGGTAGAGATGGTACCTAGCCATTGCGTTCCAGGGAAGAATGTCTGTGATGTACATCAAGATTCGTTGATCAACAGATAAAGAAATACTAGGAAAATCATCACCAGACTGCAACTGTTACAAACCCCTTACCTACCCTTTCTTCTTCTCATAAAAAAAAGTCACCTTGAGATGAGGTATTAAGACGGTTTTTGAGGGTACTTAACCCGCCGTCTTCTCAGATCACAAGCATCTGAATAAAGTGCTAATAAAGATTTAATCCTTGTCTCTGCTTACTGATTCTGGTAGTGAGAGATAGCATGCATGCTGACTTTTCCGGTTTCATTTTCTGGTGACTCTGGTGGGACACCTTCGAAACTCTCCAGGGAGTCTGGGTTTTTGGTGGGGAGTCCTGCCCGGACTCGGGGGCTGTAGGGTGCAGATTTGGAGACTCCCTTGTAGCTGCCCAGTGATTTCACTTGGGGACTCTCCCCTGATTCTCAGCGCTCTCCATCGCCTTCACATTTAATTGAATCACTGTGCTTTCTGGCTTGGGATTGCAGTCCCGGGTTATGACTTAGAACAGTCATCAGGAATTAAGGTGCCTTCTGGTTTATGTGACATTACAGAGCTCTCTGGTACAATGTGGGAGAGGGGAGCTTCCATTCTGGACACACTCCTTTGGGGTAAATTCCGGCCGATTGGTCACCTATGCTTATGAACCTATGACTAAAAAGGAAATGGTCTTTTATTGCAGTACTGCTTGGTCTATATACAATATGCATTTGAGGAGAGCATTGGTCACTGACTGGGTCTTTACTATACTGTACTAAAATTAGAGTTGTTTTTATCAAAGATCAGGGAAATGGGATTAAATACCTTATGTACAGGTTTTTATGACTCTATATAATAAAGATGCAGATACAGAATTAAAAGGAAATAGATTGATGGCCCAGAGAAAAGAGAATTTACCTGTGGTAGATGGCAGAAGCTCAGAAGAGAAGTGCTGGGAAGATCAGATGTCATGGCTGCTGTGAGCATGGTCAGGGTTCCCACCGTCCCTCCAACCTTGAGGGATCCTTCTCCTTACCTGGCTGAAGGAGCCAAGGAAGGTGAGCCTGAACTGATCTCTCCATCCTGAACATGCCTGGGAGCCAAATTCAGTGGAGGACAAGCGTCTACTGGGTCAGGGCAATACCCTTTATGAAGACTTCCAGTGGGAGTAGGGCCAGCCCACTGGATATTATTGGGCATATACTCCATTTTCTACATTGGATCTGTAAAGCTGGAAAACCTCAAATCCTTCTCTTTTTTTAAATATTCTATTTATTTTTAGGCAGAAGAGAAGGGAGGGAGAGAGAGAGGGAGAGAACATCAATGTGTGGTTGCTTCTCATGCGCCCCCATACTGGGGACCTGGCCTGCAACCCAGGCATATGCCCTGACTGGGAATTAAACTGGTGACCCTCAAATCCTTCTTTTTTTAAAAAAAAAATATATTTAGAGAGAGGGGAAGCGTAGGAGAAAGAGAAAGAGAGATACATGATCAGTTGCCTCTCACATGCCCCCAACTGGGGACCTGACCGCAACCCAGACATGTGGCCTGACTGGGAATTGAACCAGCAATCCTTTGGTTCACAGGCTGACACTCAGTCCACTGAGCCAACCAGCCAGGGTTCAAATCCTTCTTACAGGGACTATCCTTCTAAAGTTACATCAGTTTTTGCCACCCTCCATCCCAGTTGGGCAGACATACAAGACTTACTGAATATTTTATTTATGGCGGGGGAGCAGAGGTTGGTATTGGATAAGGAAAATGAAGAGGCTCAGAGGCTGCAACAAGAAAATCCTGGTGGGACTCCCAATGCTACTAAGGCAATACTTTAAACCGAGCCCAGCTGGGACCCTATGGGAATGGCCTTCCCCTCTTAGAGCATTGTAAGAGGTGCGTCCTTGAGGGACTGAAGAAAGGGGTCCTGCAGGAAAGTGTGAATATGGTGCAGGTAGTACAACAAAAGCCCTCAAGGACCCCTCTGAGTTTCTTGAAAGACTCTACCAGGCCTATAGAAAATATACTGGTTTGGATCCACAAGCCCCTGAAAATATTAGAATGGTGAATATGACCTTTATTTCTCAAAGTGCACCTGACATCAGAAAGAAATTTCAAAAGTTAAAGGGAGGAATAGGCATGAATCCTTCTCAGTTAGTAGATATTGCCTTCAAAGCTTATAATAGCAGAGAACAGAAAAAGGACCAAACAGCCACTATTTTCTTGGAAAAAACCTCAGGGAAATTCAATTTATGGGCAAGGAACACCTCCCTACCCCCATCCAAAACACTTGCCACTGATCAGTGAGTGTATTGCAAGGGAAAGGGACTGGAAGAATGAGTGCTCCAAGTGAGGGAAAAGGAGGTCAGAGCCTCAGAGTTATGCTGGGAAAAGGAAGTCGCTCCAACAATGAGTGATGGAGCCCAGAGGTTCCATTATTACAACAACCTATTAAAATCACCTGCCCCCCAGCCACCTCAGGTAAAACTAACAGTGGTGGGACAAATTATAGAAGTTTTGATTGATACTGGAGTGACATATTCTGTGGTCAGCAGACCTCTAACTGAGTCTTTGCAACAGGCTATAACTGTAACTGGAATTTCTGGAAGCCCTGAAAGCCAATTTTTCTTGAAATCATTGGAATATGCTATAGGAAATATAATTTTAACTCATAAATATTTATAAATTCCGGAGTGTCCAATTCCTCTTCTGGGAAGGGACTTGCTGTCAAAACTGTGCCCAGATCCCTTTCTCTTCAGAAGAACAACAGCTCCACTTACAGGTCCCTCCAGAGTACGCCTGGCAGTTCCTTATGAAACTGCAGGAGGAAGAGGAAAAGTGACCCTGTCCAGAGGATATTGAGAATCAGGTAAA